CATTCTTTGAGCGTGCAGGCTGAAACAGAGACTGTTCACGTGTCTCAGGGCTGCAATAAACTGTGAACTCCTGAGAAGACAGGGCTAAAGGATAAAGTAGGGATTCTGCCCACCTTGGGCAGCACAACCCAAAATGGCCACAAAATGGACAACAGGTCAAGAGATCTCTCAATTTCATAAATCTTGCTCCATTTGCACATTGGAGTTAATTGTCCAATTCCAGCTTTAGCCCATGCAGTCCCATCCTTCTTGTTTTCTCTCTCCAGCCCACGTTGTTTGTGATCTTGGGCCTGAGATTTGGATCATTTGTCCCTGGTCCCCAGCTAGAGAAGGAATTGTTTTGTCTCCCTGCTCTGTGCAGAGAGCTCACCATCCCATACTATGAAGCCTAGACTTACACACTAAAGCGGAACATAATCTGAAAAATACAAAAGCTAAAACCTGAGGCATCACCTGCAAGGAACAGACACCAAACACTCAGAGGAGAATATTTTTTTTCCTCCAGCTGCTGCAGGAAAGCAATGCCAGTTTCCATCCTGGCAGATGAAAGGATGAGAAACCATCAGGGATAATTTATTATTAAAAATATTGTCCCAACAACAAACAAATCTAGAATGTATCAGGACTTTGCTACAGGCCTCCCAGGGCCAGCAGTGTGGCTGCTGGCCATGCCAAGCATGGAAAAGCCCTGGATTCACTCCATGCCCTTTTCCCACCCAGAATGTTTAAAGGCACAGCTGAACAAGGTGAGCAGCATTTTGTACCCCAAGTTTTAAGGGGAGGTTGATCCTTCTCCAAAACTGCATGCAACAAGGCCAAACAGAACTGCAAGGGATTCCCAAGGCTTGCTTCTGCCACATTCCAAGTGATCCCTGGAGTAAGTACTTTGTAAGTCAACACAGAGCTAACTTAATTAACATGCACCAATTAAACTGTATTTGGCAGTTTCAAACAGCTTTCAGTTAACAGCAGCTGGGAGATGCACATCTGCATCAAAACAAAGCCCAGACACTCAACTCCAAGCCTGTCAGAGCTGCCATTTTGACAACTGTACAACCACTGCTCCTTCTTGACTTTCAAGCTTCCTCCTCAACCCCAGGCTGTGACAGCACTCCAAAGTGACCAAACTCTTCCCCAGGGGGATGAAAAGGAACCCTCACCTTCTGAGGGAGCTGCTGCTGGGCACTCTGCTGCTGCTGCATGACCTTGGGGATGGCAGCTGAGGGCTCCTGGGCTTTGCCCTCCTTGAACTCGCTGACCTTGTGCCGGTAGTAGGCATGGTAGGGGTCGTTGGGGTTCAGGAAGTTGAACTTGGGGTTATTTATTTCATTCTGACGAATTCGGGCTTCAAATTCTGGACCATTTCTGGGGAGCAAGAAGAAAAATTGTTCAGATCATCATCAACTCAAGGGTAAATGTTTCTTTCAGACTAGGACATGTTGAGGCACCAGCCCCTGGAAGATCATTTTCTCTCTCACATGAGAGGAGTTTCTCTCTCTCAGCAGTTGGACACACACAGGTTGGATACAATTGTCCTTTTAATTCTGTCTTTAATGTGAATATTAAAAATTCACACTCACAACTGCTCCACAGTTGTGTCTGCACTCAAAGGTCATTTCCACCACTGACTGAACTTTACAGTCATGAAGCATGAAGCTTACAAGTTACTACATCAATTTTATCTGCTCTATTAACAAGTTCTCAAGACTAATTTCAGTTCCAGAAGGAAAATGCAATAAACATCAGCCAGTGCAGGGCCTGAGCAGCCCAGAGTGCTGCATTCAGGAGCCCCAGCCCAGGTGCCACCCCCTCCTCGCACCTGAAGCACAAGCCAGCTATTTCAGAGCAGTTTGAGAAAACTCCCAGCTGCCACAGGGTGCTGCTCTCCAATCCTCTGGATATCTCCCAGCCTCATTTAGACATTCCACCTCCTCCAAAAGAGGAGGGCTCTGCAATCCCGAGGGATAAACACAGTCCCTCATGCACAGAAGCAGCCAACACTCCTTGGCAGCACTTTGGAGATGAGTTACACAATAAGGGAGCAGCAGTTAGGAATTCTCTGAAACCAAACCCCACATTTTAGCACTAAAACACATCCAAGGCTCCCTTTGCACCTGGAATTTGGTTTCCCATTCAGAACAGGCCCTATTACCCAGTTATGGCATCACCCACTGCACATTTGAACAAGAATTTTATTTATTTACTATCAGTTTCTCCAGCAAAGGGTGTCTTACACCCCCTTCAGTAGAATATTGTTTCTTTTCCAGTCTCAGTCCTTAAAATCCTTCATGCAAAACCACAGAACTGGGACCTGCCTCAGCTTCTAGGGCTGCACTGAGCAGCAGGAGGATGAAAATGGCAGGAGCAAGAGACACCAGCAGTGCCACTCACCTGGCTACAAAGCTGGCAGTCTTGTCCACAATATTCCTGACCTCTGGGGGAGGGTAAATGATCCCCACCACAGGCTTGGCTGGGGCTGCCTCCTCTTTAGGCTCCTCTTCTGGCTGTAATAAAGATAAATTCATTGCAAAAGGTGAAGGGGTGTCAGGATCAGGCATTCCAAACACTCCCAATGGCACACAGAAACCTTCATCCATCCTCCTCCTCCTCAGCACTGAGCTGGCTGAAGAATCTGGATCACCCACCCCACCAATTCCCTGGATTCTCAGGGACAGCAGGACAAGGAAGGTGCCTCCATGGGAAGCACAACAATTTTCACTGTATCAGCCTTGACCCCAGGGCTGTATTTAAATGCTGAGCCAGGAGTCTCCAGTGACATTTCCAGCAATAATTCATCATTCCTCACCAGCTGTGCAAGTTCTGTATCCTCCCAGGGGCCTGTGGGACCTGAGTTATTAACTCCACATTAAATAAATCACAGCTTTTAAAACCATTGTGGTTGCAACAGAAGCTGTTTTGAAGAGAAATTCTCCAACACAGAGTTTTTCTGATGCTACAGGAGGATCCAAACTAAAATCCCAGAACCTTCCCTGTGGATGGCTCTGTAAAACCAGGAGCTGCTTTTGCAGGACACTAAAGATGCTGCTTCTCTTTCCTCACCAGGCAGCTTCCAAAAGAAGGTGTTATAAACCAGGACAGATCTGCTGGAAATGTTTATAATCCTAACAGGGACAGTCAGGGATAACTTAAAATCCAGGGATAACTTAAAACCCATGGAGAATCCAAGCCAGAGAATGATCTCAGGCCAAACTGGTCCCTGGCAGTGCCCAAGGCCAGGCTGGGCAGGGCTGGAGCAGCCTGGGACAGTGGGAAAGGTCCCTGCCATGGCAGGGGTGGCACTGGGTGGGCTTTGAGGTCCCTCTCATTGCAAACTATTCCATAAATACAACCCTACCAAAGTGTGTTAAGAGAAAGGCACCAGGAACATTTCTAGTTTTCATTCCCACTCCCTCAGAACATCATCTTGAGGAGCTGAAGGATGGGGCAGCACCACACTCGAGATATTTTATTTAACAGCAATGCCAAGTTGCCTTGGTAACATCTCTGCATAAAAGCCTCTGGGTTTTTAGGGGAGAATCCCAATTTTCCAAGGCTCCCAGTGAGAGCAGCTCCCTGTCAGCTCCAAGGGTGCTGATGCTGCTGTGTGAGAGCCAGGACAGCAGCTCCAGCCCTGTGGGAGCTAAATTCCCATCTCAGGAATGCATGAGGGATGAATATTCCCATCTCAGGCTGCAAAGAACATGAAACGGCCAAGGGAGAAAGGATCTGGAAGGATGCTGGGACACACAGCCCTGCCACGCTCCCTCAGACTTTCAATCCTTCCTCACATCATTCCTGCAGCCAGGGCAGCTCCCCCAGGCCCTGGGAACTGCCAGGGAAGGGCTCAGCTCCTGCCCAGCCCCAGCAGGACCCAAGGAATGCTGGAATGGTTTGGATGGGAAGACAACCTGGAGCTCATCCCACTCCTGCCATGGCAGGGACACCTCCCACTGTCCCAGGCTGCTCCCAGCCCCAATGTCCAGCCTGGCCTTGGGCACTGCCAGGGATCCAGGGGCAGCCACAGCTGCTCTGGGCACCCTGTGCCAGGGCCTGCCCACCCTGCCAGGGCACAATTCCCAATATCCCATCCAGCCCTGCCCTCTGGCACTGGGAGCCATTCCCTGTGTCCTGGCCCTCCATCCCTTGTCCCCAGTCCCTCTGCAGCTCTCCTGGAGCCCCTTCAGGCCCTGCAAGGGGCTCTGAGCTCTCCCTGGAGCCTTCTCCTCTCCAGGTCAGCACCCCCAGCTCTCCCAGCCTGGCTCCAGCCCTTGCAGCATCTCTGGTGCCTCCTCTGGGCTCTCTCCAGCAGCTCCAGGTCCCTCCTGTGCCGGTCCCAGGGCTGGGGCAGCTCTGCGGTGGGGTCTCACCGGAGCGGGGCACGGGGGTCAGTGCAGTGCTCTGGACCAAACCGCAGCTCCCCCAGCCCGGCCCGGCCCGGCCCGGCCCGGTCCGTGAGGGCCCCGCTCCCCCCTCACGGTTCGCGCCATTCCCGCTCCCTCCCCTCCCTCACCGGTTTGCTCTCTGCGGGAGGCGCGGGCTGCGCCGGGGGCACAGCCTGCACGGGTCCGGCGGGCATGGCGGGGCCGGTGCCGGGGGCTCCGCGCCGGGCGGGGCGGATCGAGGGCCGGGCGGGGCCGGGGCCGGGGCCGGGGCCGGAGCGGCGGCGGCGGCGGCGGCACCGACTGGGGCGAAATGGCGGCGGCGGGCGCTGTGCCGCGCGTGCGCGCCGGAAGTGACGCAACGCCGGCGGGAAGTGGGCGGGCACAGGGAGTGAGCCCGATGTTGGATGTACCATTAGAGTCCGGTGGGGGGGGGAGCGGTACCAAACAGGAATGCACCACTGCGGCGCGAGGGGGGCGCGGTTGTCATGGCGACAGGGCTGGGACGCCGAGGCCTAACACAGTCCCGGCCCCGCGGTTGCTGCTGATTGCCCCGATAGCCCCGGTTCCCTCCGGTTCCCCAGCGCTCCTGGAGGCCGCCGGGCCCAGGGGTTACTCCAGCAGCCTGTCCCGGTAGGGCGTTGCCTGCACCCCAGGCTTGGTGGCCCCGCTGTTCCCGGGCCCGGCCCGCACCATGGCGCACCTGCTGGGCCACCGCGGCTGCATGGAGAGCCTGCGGGCCGACCTGCGCGACCTGCAGGCCGCCATCGCCGACGTGTGCTCGCGGGCCGGCGCCGTGCGCTTCCCCTCGTGGAAATTCCCCGACAAGGTGTCCTGCGAGCTGGACATCGCCGTGCTGCTGCAGCGCTACCGGCACAGCGACAGCGAGCCCGAGTTCAGCCAGCACGCACACGTGGTGCTGCTGGAGCTGCTCATTGACAGGTGAGAAGGGCAGCTGTGTCCCACCTGCTGAGTTATTGGTATAGGGCTTGCAAGGGTTGCAGGATGAAGAGAGAGGCGAGAATGTTGACCTCATGTTCGGAAGGCTTGATTTATTATTTTATGATATATATTACATTAAGACTATGCTAAAAGGAATAGAGAGAAAAGTTCTCAGAATGCTAGCAAGCTAAGAATAGAAAAGGAATCAATAACAAAGTTCTGTGTCCAGGCAGAAAGCAAGAACAGCCCTGCCATGTGCGGTCAGTAAATTCAAACATTCACAGAAGACCAATCCCAGATGCACCTGCTGCATTCCACAGCAGCAGATAACCATTGTTTACATATGTTGCTGAGGCCACATCTTCTCAGAAAGGGGAAAAATCCTGAAGAAAGGATTTTTCACAAAAGATGTCTGTGACAAGTTATCTCAATCCTGGAGGAGCTTTTGGGCGCCTCAGCACAGGGAGAACTCAAAGTTGTTAATTAGAGAGCATCCAAATGAGGGCTGAGGGTGAAAGCACCTGATGTGTTCAGCTGGAACAGAGAACACTGAGGTCAGAGCTCAGTGGGGCTGCAGCTCCTCCAGGGTACAGCTCTGATCTCTGTGACCAGAAATGGGATTCAAAGAGTGGCTGGAGCTGTGCCAGGGAGATTAAGCTGGATATCAGGAAAAGGTTCTTCCCTCAGAGGGTGCTCAGGCACTGAACAGGTTCCCCAGGGAATAATCACATGTTCCCCAGGGAATAATCAGCTGGGTTGGAAAAGACCTTGGAGATCATCAAGTGCAATCTGTGACATAACAGCACCTTATCAATTAACCCATGGCACCAAGTGCCACATCACGGCCCCGAGGCTGCCAGAGCTCCAGGAGCCTTTGGCCAATGCTCTCAGGCACAAGCTTGGATTGTTGGGGTGTCTGTGCAGGGCCAGGAGTTGGACTGGATGATCCCTGGGTCCCTTCCAGCTCAGGATATCCCCTGGTTTTATGAAATCTTTTGGATGCTTTGTTCCCCATGTATTTCCATAATGAACAGTACCAGCACCACAGCCTCATGCCCTGCTGAGCTTTAAAACCCAACTCTTTCCCCTGCTTAGGGCTCCCAGCACAAAGTGGCCACAAAGAAGCAGAGCCAGAGGTAGAGCAGATGGGACAGGCTGGTTAAACTGCCTCCCAAAACCTTGGAAACACTGGGACACAGCTGCATCAGCAGCCCAGGGAGGCCAAAGCCCCTTTGCAGTCTGAAATAAATACAGCTCTGGTTTAAAAGATGAGCCATTCCCACCAAGCTGTTGGCCCTAAAATCAGGATTTACAGCAGCACAGGTACCCCAAATCTTTGGGGGGAGCTTAATCACAGCCTCTGGGAAGTGGCTGCTCCATGCAGTGATCCATGCCAGGACAGTCCTGGGAGAACCAATGGCACCCTCCTGCATCCTGCTGCTGCAAATCCTGACTTTAGGCCAAACATCTCAGTGGGAATGGCTCATCTTTTAAACCAGAGCTGTATTTATTTCAGACTGTAAAGGGGCTTTGGCCTCCCTGGACTGCTGATGCAGCTGTGTCCAAGTGTTTCCAAGGTTTGGGAGGCAGTTTAACCAGCCTGTCCCATCTGCTCTACCTCTGGCTCTGCTTCTTTGTGGCCACTTTGTGCTGGGAGCCCTAAGCAGGGAAAGGATTTGGGTTTTAAAGCTCAGCAGGGCATGAGGCTGTGGTGCTGGCACCGTGGAAATACATGGGTGTCTTGGTTTGGAAAGCCAGGAGTCTGCTAAGGAAGGCAGGAGCCTCCCCTGAAATGGAGAATGTAAACCCTCTCCACCCCTCTGAATTGCTATGAATTTTAAATTAAGGGGCTCTCAGGCAAAAATGTGGCAGCAGGAAATAACAGTTCTTTAATAGGGAAGAAAAATAAAAGGATAAAATAAACAATGCAGTACACTAGAACAACACTGCCAGAGTCAGAACCCAACCTGACACCTTGTGGGTCAGGGTGTTGGTGGCAGTCCCATTGGAATTGTGGCTCAGCCCTCCTGCAGTGTCAGGGGTGGTTCTGCTGGAGCAGGGATCCTGTAGAGAAGGATGTATTCTTCCTCTGAAGATCCAGTGGAAGGAGAGGCAGCTGCTGTTCCTCTGGGGAATCCAGTGGAGAAGCCGTGCTGGTGTCTCAGAACCTCTGGATTATACCTGGGTAGGAATGCTTGGCTCCTCCCTCTGGGCTCACATCTCCCAATGGGATGCTGTCGTTCTTATCAGCCATGCAGGGACATTCAATAGCTGTTATCAGCAATGTCCCCTCCCAGGGAGGTGTGATTGTGGTCACTCAGAGAGAGAGATAAGGCAAACTGCCCACTTGACAAAGGTAATCTGCCATACAGATGGGAATGGAAAACATCTTGCATTGCAATCTTCAACAATGGGGAACAAAGCATCCCAAAGACTCCATAGAACGAGGGGATGCCCTGAGCTGGGAGGGACACAGGGACCATCACTCTGTCTGGGTGATGGGAGGGGTCCCAGCCCGCATTCCCACCGTGTTTCCCCTTTCCCAGGCTGCTGCTGCTGCTGCAGAGCTTCACGGGCTATGCCGAGGCGCTGCTGAGCGGGCGGGCGGTGCCGGCGCCGCGGGGCCCGGGACCCGGCATGTCCGCGGGGCTCACGGCCAGGACCTTCTGGAGCTCCATGCTGAAACTCGGCGCCCTCTGCCAGCAGCTCCGCGACCAGGTGGGACATCTGGGCTGGGACAACTGGGGACGTCCCATGAGCTGAGTCACTCCCCTCCTCGCATTTGGATCGTGGTGCTTCTCGCCACGCCAGATGTGCCAGATGTGCGTGCAGCCTCTGGGTGCTGCCCCTGTGTCACACATCTGTCCCCTCCCAGCCCGAGTCTCTTCCCTCCACTGCATCCGTCCAACTCCAGATTTTGGGATGAGTGAGCTGGGCTGCCTCCAGAGCTTGGGAAATAAATATTCTCCCACTGCCAAAATGCTGCAGCTCTGCTGGTCCCACTGTGGATCTGAGCTGCCTCAAGACAGTGAAATAAGTGGTGGTAAAAACAACCTGTCTGGCATTTTATTTTCCCCAAAATGATCTTTCTCATGGAAAAGCCTCACAACAATCCAGGAGGGCAAAACCAGGGGTGGGACAGAAGGGATGGTGGGGAGTTGGGGAGGAGGTTTTGCTGCCGAGGCTTCCCTTTAGTCACTGTCCCTTGGCTGCATTGCTGTCCCATCTCCACACCTGATTTAGGCTTTTATGGGTCATTTCCACTCTGATCCAGGCTCTGGTTTTGTTCTGCGCTCTCTCCCTCGGGAGAAGGGTTGCAGGTGGGAGATCCCCACACAGCAATCCCCTCCACCCTCTGTTCCCCAGGTTGGGAAATGTCAGCAGGAGCACCTGAAATCCATCTTGCCAGAAGTTTTGGACTCAGGAGCTGCCTCAGAGGATGCCCAGCCCAGTTCTGTGTGCCCAGATCCCAGTGCCCAGCCCAGGGCTGGCCCCAGCCCGGCTCTGAGCACCCGCAGTGTCCCCACACAGACCCCGGGGTCACCCCTTGGCTCCTGTGACAGCTGCTCCAGCGCCCAGGCCAGCCTCCACCAGGTGGGCAGAGCCATCACCAGCATCTGCCAGAGCCAGAACATCCCTTCAGCTCTCAGCAAGTTCCAGGAGGTGCTGGAGGACGGCACAGGGAGAAGGAACCTCTCTGCAGCAGACATGAGCTACTGGGCCTCGGAGCAGAGCAAGGACCTGTCCCGCATCAACAAACACCTCCAGGGGCTGCTGCAGCAGCTCAACCCCGTGAGGGCTGAGCTGGAGCAGATGGGCAAGCAGAAGGACAAGCTGCAGAAACAGGTTGAGGACTTCTCCAGGAAGCTGCAGGCAGAGAAGAGCATCCAAGCAGAGCAGCAGAAGGCAGCTGAGCAGAGCCTGAAAGCCAAGGAAAAGGAGCACTCCAAGGCTGTGGCCAGGCTGGAGGAGGAAAAGGATGAGCTCAGGAGAGGTACAGAGCTGTTCCCAGCTGTTCCCAGCTGTTCCAAGCATGCCTCTGTCCTGGGTTGACACCCTCCCAGGCCCAGGGGCATTTGCAAGAAGAAGAACAGAGTCCATGGACAAATTTTGGCCCCATCACCACCATCAGGGCTTCTTGTAGGTGCTGGGGGATTTTCCCTGCTGTGAGCCCAGTCCTGGGCAGTGGGAGCTGGTTGTGTGTGTCCTGTCACTGGATGAAAACTCTTTGGTGTGACTGCTTGCTGCCCCTTGGTTTGGTTGTTTTTGAGGAACTGATTAATGAGAGGGTTTTTGTGCTGGTTTAGGAGCTGCTCTGCTGGAGGAGCAACTCTCAGCCCTGAAGGAGGAGCTGGCAGCGAAGGAGGCGGCTGTGCAGGAGCTGGGTAAGGAGCTCACCCAGGGCTCACACACCCCCCTCCCCCTGGCCTCACAAGTGTGTCACAGCCCTGCAGCCCCCAGCACCCCCAGGCTGTGGAGCTGTGGGGATGGGAGAAGATGGGCCTCCTTCACAGCAACACCCCAACATCACCCAGTGCCAGAGGGGGCTGATGCTGGGGGAGGTTTGGGGGGCTCACAGGTCTCCTGTCAGACCTGCCTCCCTTTGCCAGGGCCTGTGCAGGGCATGGGGTGCCCCTGAACCACAGAATCATGGACTGGTTTGGATGGGCAGGGACGTTAAAGTCCATGCAGTGTCACCCCTGCCATGGCAGGGACACCTTCAGGGACACCTCCCACTGTCCCAGGCTGCTCCAGCCCCAATGTCCAGCCTGGCCTTGGGCACTGCCAGGGATCCAGGGGCAGCCCCAGCTGCTCTGGGCACCCTGTGCCAGGGCCTGCCCACCCTGCCAGGGAACAATTCCCAATTCCCAATATCCCATCCATCCCTGCCCTCTGGCAGTGGGAGCCATTCCCTGTGTCCTGTCCCTCCATCCCTTGTCCCCAGTCCCTCTCCAGCTCTCCTGGAGCCCCTCTAGGCACTGGAAAGGGTTCTTAAGCTCTCTCTGGAGCCTTCTCTTCTCCAGGCTGAGCACCCCCATCCCTCCCATCCCCTCCATGCTCCTCCAGCCTCTCTGCCCTGCCCAGCCTGGGCCATGGTGGCTCTGTCTCCCCAGAGCTCTCCAAGACCACCTTGCTGGAGGAGGTGAGCACCACAATGGTGGCCCGGAGCCAGGTGCTGGAGCTGGAGGAGAAGGTGCAGGTGCTCACAGGCCAGAAGGACAGCCTGGAGCAGGAGCTGAGTGCCACCAGGGTGCAGCTGGAGCAGGAGCTGAGTGCCAGCAGGGTGCAGCTGGAGAAGGAGAAGGTCCATGTGGAGAGCCTGCTCCGGCACGAGGAGGTACAGCCAGAGCCTGGCAGGGCTGTGGGGAATGGGGCAGAGCCCCACACGGGCTCACCCCCAGCACAGTCCCTGCAGGCCAAGCAGAGCACCCTGCTGCAGCAGCTGGACAGCCTGGACAGGGAGCTGGAGGAGATGCAGGCCAGCCTGGGAGAGGCCGAGGAGGACAAGGCCCGGCTGGCAGAGCAGCTGGAGCAGAGCCAGCAGCAGAGTGGGAAACAGCTCCAGGAACAGCAGGTGAGGGCTGGTGCCCAGGTGTGGGACACAGCCTGTGTAGCCAGGATATTTTCTGAAAAATCCTTTCCTTAGGATTTTTGCTCCTGAGAAGCTGAGAGGCCTCAGGAACAAAATGTAAACAGTGGTTATCTGCTGCTGTGGAATGCAACAGGTGCATCTGTGATTGGTCTCATGTGGTTGTTTCTAATTAATGGCCAATCACAGTCAGCTGGCTCGGGCTCTTTGTCCGAGCCACAAACCTTTGTTATCATTCCTTCTTTTTCTATTCTTAGCCAGCCTTCTGATGAAATCCTTTCTTCAATTCTTTTAGTATAGATGATATAATATATATAATATATATAATATAATATAATATAATGTAATGTAATATAATATAATATAATATAATATTATATTATATTATATTATATTATTATATATTTTTTTTAATGTAATATATATCATAAAATAATAAATCAGCCTTCTGAAACATGGGGTCAGATCCTCATCTCCTCCCTCATCCTCAGACCCCTGTGAACACTGTCACAAGCCTGTGCCACAGGGCTGCCACAGACAGGCACACACTGCCCTGCCCACACCCACAGCCAGAGCTGTCCCAGGAGGGGCACTCTGGGACCCAGGGTGGCATTGCCACATGGCCACGTCCTCATGGGATTCCCTGGGGAAGAGGCCTCTCCCTCCACCCTGTGCCAGACAAGGCTCTGGTTGAGTCAGGGCAGAGGGGAGCAGCAGGAAGGGACATTTGAGGTGTTTCCACATCTCCAGTGTTCTGTTCTTGGACACCTGGACACGCTCCACACTTTGTGGTTGGTGCTCCTGCTCCCAGCACACACAGGGATCTCAGAGCTAGAACCCTGCATGTTTTCCATTTCCATCTGCCACAGGACATCCTTATCATCAGGGAAGGGTGGGAGCCTTCCATGAGGGGCTGAGTCCTCACTCTTGCAAACTTCATCTCCTCCCTGCTGTGCCTTGCAGGAGCTGCTGGACACACTGCAGCAGGAGAAGCAATCCCTGGAGCAATCCATCCTGGAGCTACAGGCCAACACATCCCAGCTGCAGGAACAGGCACAGGAGCTGAGGGAGCGGGAAAGGCTCCTGGTGTTCTTCCCTGATCTCCACACGCCCACTGAGATGCAGTTTGAGAGTAAGGGAGCAGATGGGTTTGTGCCTTGGGGTTTCCAGAGCTCCCAGGGGATCCTGCTGGCCCCAGACACTCCCACTGACACCCAGGAAGGGCTCAGACCCCTGTGAAGCTGTGACCATCCCAATGTGCCTCTGTGCCTCCCACATCAGGGCCAGGACATTGAGCAGGGCCAGGACATGGCAGAGCTCCCTTTGCCCACAGGGCTTGGGGTCCCAGCTGTGCCACTGCTCCGTGCCCGGGGCGGGCAGGAGGGGTGCCCACACCTCTGAGCAGACAGGCAGCAGCAGGCTGGGCTCTGTTGGATTTTGTCTGCAGGCAGTGGGAACTTAACAGAGGACATGAAGAATCAGCTCCAGGCCAACAAGATCAGGATTGAGGTGCTGGAGAGGGAGAACACCCAGCTGGAGGCTCTGCTGGCCAAGGTGAAGGCAGCAGCAGAGCAGGGCGTGCTCAAGGTGAGCTGGGTGCCCCAAAACCACCCCCTGGCCCCCAGGCATCCTTTGGGGACCCTGGAAGGGCCGAACCCAAGCCCCTCATGCTGCTGGGAGGTTGCTGTGGTTTAACTGGTGTTGCCTGAGGTGCCCGGGGCTGGTTCCAGCTCCTTTCCATCACTGTGCCCATTGTGCCACCAGCTGTGGTGGCCAAGGGACGTGACTGGAGCTGAAGCTGGTGGGGGGAAATTTCACCTTCTCTTCCTTTCCCCAGCTCATCCCACAGGCCCAGCTGGGGTCCCAGCTCCTCAGGGCAGCCAGCAGGCAGGACAGTGGGTGAGTAGGAGCCAGAGCAAGGGGCTGGGGCGGGTTCCTGCCCTTCCTCCCCTGTAACTGCTCCCCCCCGCAGGCGGCTCAGCAGCGGGAGCAGCGGGGACAGCCCGGGGCTGCCAGGCTGCATGGACAAGGGCTGGCACAGAGCTGCCAGCAGCCAGCACTCCAACAGACTCCGGGCAGAGCCCTCCCCCCAGGCCAAACCCTGCCTGTCGCTCCCAGTGCGCCGCCTGGGGCTCAGCCTGCCCTCGCTGCACACCGGGGCTCACCGCAAATAAACACCGATCACTCTGCATTTCCTGACACACAAACTTCCCCCAGCAGCACCTGCCCTGCCCAGGGGACCTCGTTACCGGGTCTTGGTGCGTCAGGAAGGGAAAGCTGGGCTCTGCCTGCTTCCTGGGGGAGCTGCTCCAGGGACGTTGCTGGGCACTGGGATCAGTCACCCTTGGCTACGCTGCTGCTGGATCCCCAGAAGAGCCCCGAGGTTGACTCCAGGGCACAGTTTGTGCTAGCTCCTGCCAGGAACCATTCCCAAGAGGGGACTGGGATGTGGCCACACTTGGAAGAGGAAAGCAGAGCTGGCCTGGGATGAGAGGAGTCCAAACCACCCTCAGCCCACCAGCACAGCCACAGCCTGGGAAAGTAATTCTCCCTCTATGAGCCCCGAGGGGTTGGGAATCACCAAGCCACTGGCACAGGCTGGCCCTAACCTCTGAGCCCCATGCAAGCCCCACAAAACCACACAGGCAGCCCTTGCTCCATGTTTAATAGGGATGGACACGTGCCATGTTGCAGCCATGGGGCAGGACCCAGGCAGGGCCCGTGGTGTGTCCCCAGTGACCGTGCTGGCTCTGCAGCTGGCTCGTGCCATCCTTTCTAATAAGTTATTATTATAAATAAAGCATCCAACCCCTGCCCTCCCACGGTGAGGCCGTGAGTCACCCACAGCCCTGCCAGCCCCAGCCCTGGCAGAGCTGTCACCCACCTCCCAGAGGGGCTGGCACTGCAGCCAGGCTCTGCCTACCCTGCCACGGCCACCAGCAAATAGACAAAAACCCCAAGACTTAGAAAAAATGCTGTGAGCAGGGCAAGAGCACAGCAGGACCAGGGCTCTCCCTGCCCCAGCCCCCACCCCGTTACACCCATGGGTGCCCCAAATCTTCCCTCCCCAACACTGCCCATCTGGACCCCCCACCCCTCTACTCACACCCAGCAGGAGAGCCCAAAGTCCTTCCCTCTCCAGAGTCTGGGCACTGTGATGGGCACAGCCACACCAACCCAGCTGTGGCAGCAAGTGCCTCTCACTGGGCACCCCCTGCCCCCTCCCTGTCCCTGCAGCAGCCGTGGGTCTGTCCCTGGAGTGTGTCCTTGGGCCAGCTAGCTGTCTGTGCAGCAGTTCCCTGCAAGGGAGGACAGACAGACACCCTTGGCACAGGGAGCCTGGCAGCTCCAGGTGCTCCCCAGGCTGTGCCCAGGGTCAGGGGGGTCAGCTCAGGGCGGTTCTCACCCAGGATGTTGCGCTTGCAGAGAGGGCAGGTCTGCTGCAGCAGGAGCCAGGGATCCACACAGTCCCGGTGGAACTCGTGGGAGCAGGGCAGCACCCGCAGCCACTGCCAGCAGGGAAGGGAGGGCACGTGTGAGCACAGCTGGGTGGTGGGACAGAGCCCAGCCCCTGCCGGGGACAGAGCCCAGCCTCTGCCGGGACACAGCCCAGCCCCTGCCAGGGACAGAGCCCAGCCCCTGCCAGGGACACCCCGACCCCAGCAGTGACCAAGGCTCGGCCCAAGGTGGGCTCCAGTCGCACCTGGCTCTTGTGGAACTGGTCCAGGCACACGGCACAGCTGTCGATCTCACAGGCGCGGCTCCGGGGCGGCTTCCCAGGGTGGTAGCGCCGCGTTTTCAGCGCCAGCAGCCGCCGCCGGATGTGCTGCTTCAGGTCCAGCTGCAGGGGGAGCCGAGGGTCAGAGCCCACCCACACCCCCCGGGCATGGCACACAGCACAGACATTGCCACATTCCCACCTCGGCATCCCGCTCCGACAGCTCCTGCCGCGACTGCCGCTGGGCCTGCACCATGACGCCGGTGCAGAGCAGCAGGGCGATCAGCAGGATGGTGTTCCACAGCTGCTGCAGGTACTTCTGTGGGGACAGCGCCGTGGGCACGGGAGCCGGAGACCTGGCCCCGCTCCCAGCCCCGCTCCCGGCCCCGTTCCCAACCCTGCTCCCGGCCCCACTCCCAGCCCCATTCCTGCCGCTGCTCCCAGCCCCACTCCCGGCCCCACTCCCAGCCCCACTGGAGCCCCAGTGCCGTACCTGGACCTGCGAGCTGCTCTCCCCAGGGCAGATCACCCCCTGCCACTCTCCATAGAGACCCCCTCGGGACAGGCCACAGGTGGACCAGAGCGTGAGGGTGACTCCCTGCAAGGCAGGACACGGCATTGCTGATGGCCACAGCAGCATCCAGCAATGGCAGCACACGTGTCCCAGGAGGAGGAACACTCTACTGCCAGCTGCCCTGTTCCCATGGGCTCCCTTCCCTTCCCTTCCCTTCCCTTCCCTTCCCTTCCCTTCCCTTCCCTTCCCTTCCCTTCCCTTCCCTTCCCTTCCCTTCCCTTCCCTTCCCTTCCCTTCCTTCTCCCTGCTCCTGCTTCCCATGGATCAGAGAAGTCTGGCTGGGCACAGTCATGCCCTGCTCTCCCACTGGCAGAATGAGGAAGAGGAGGACAGACAAACATACCAGGTTCTCCAGCAGCACTGCCTGGTATGTGATCTTTGCCGTAGCCCGGAGCCCGCTGTGAGCAAGGAGCAAAGTGTCAATTGCATGGACACAGCAGGATTTGGGCACAGCTCCCCCGTGCCAGGGAGCACCCCCTCCCCACAGGGATGGGCAGTGACCGAGGGGGTCCAGAGGGACACGGAGGGGAGGTGACAGCAAGACCCTTCCTCGTCAGCTGTGCCCAGCCCTCAGTGACCCTGCACAGGGCTCTTCCCCCAGCCACATGTGACACCATGGCAGCAATCCCAATGTCCCACATGTCAGGAGGACAGACAGGGTCCCACTGCTGCTGGTGGTGAGAACAAACACCCACAGAGGTTGTGGGGATGGCGGTGCCATGACAAGAACCAACAGATCTGGATAATTTCTACTGAGAGTCCTAAAGCTCTTGGCTGAGGCCACCTGCCAGCCACCACATGGGGACCCATGGAAGGGCTGTATCTGACCCAGATCTCCCCCAGAAACACATCTCAGCCCCAGCTGGCCTTGGCATGGCTCAACACCACCCCAGCAAACATGATGGGCTGAGTCAGAGACCCCAGGGCGGTCCCTGGTGTGGCAGCCTGCCGGGGGACAAAGCAAGGACAAGGCAGGGGCCAGGCAGGGGCCAGGCAGGCTCCGGCCCAGGCCGTACCGCAGCAGCGCTCCCAGCAGCCTGGTGACATTGTCCGAGGACTGGATGACGATGACGGGCTTGGCCAGCAGCTGGGACACGTCCAGCTGCAGCGGGAGGGAAGGCAGCGGTCAGCGGTCAGCGGTCAGCAGAGCCCGCCCGGCCCCGCCCCGGCACTGCCCTACCTCACGGATGGCGTTCTGGTTCAGCGCCAGGATCAGCAGGGCAGAGGCCCCCAGCACCAGGGCTCGCTTCATCTGCAGGGACAGCGGGGACACGATCAGGGGACAGCGGGGCTGTGTCCCCAACAAGCTCCTGTCCTGCTGCAGGAAGCACCCAGCACGTCTCTGCCATGGTGAAGGGTCACAAGGGACCCAAGAGCAGTCAGAAACTGTCACCAAACACAGACCAGGAGCCCCCAGATCAGGCCAGGAGACACCCCAGGTGACACCCCTGTGGGTTTGTGGCCTGCAAACACCACGGCAGCCCTCAGGGGACAGGGTCACACAGAGGGTCACCTTGGTGACAACGGCGGTGGTGAAGGACTCCTCCTTGGCACCCCGGGGGCCCTCAGCCGGCTCCTCGGTGCCCACGGGCACCACCCCGATCCAGCCATCAGCAGCGCTCAGCTCCGGCTCCACGTCACCCACCTGGGGACATGGCAAGGACAGGGAGAGCTGGGATGAATCCCAAAGTTCAGAGCACCCCCAAAGCACCCCCATGCCCCAGGGGTCCTGGGGAGCCGGGCACAGTCTGGAGACAGGGACAGCAGGGGGGTAACACAGGGAAAACAGCCTGGCCTGCAGTGCCTCTGTGCCCCTGCCGCCACCTCCTCCCTGCTGCTGGCACACCCGAGCCGTGGCTGCCTGCCCTGGTCACTCCCCAGTGTCCCTGGGCCTCCCCACCAACCCCCCAGTGCCTCCCAGTGCCCTTCAGCTCCCACTCCTGCCCTGCCTCATTCCCTTCCCAGTGCCCGAGGATCCATCCCAGCACCCACCGGCCCAGAGTGACCCCTCGCTCACACTGACCGCTGCCCTGCCACTGCCCCCTGGTCTCCCAATGTCTCCGAGCTGCCACCGCCTCCCCCTCACCACTGCCACCCCGCACCCACCGCCTCCCCCTCATCACCGCCACCCAGCACCCACAGCTCCCCCTCATCACCGCCACCCAGCACCCACAGCTCCCCTCATCACCGCCACCCAGCACCCACAGCTCCCCCTCACCACCGCCACCCAGCACCCACAGCTCCCCCTCACCACCCCCACCCAGCACCCACATCTCCAGCCCCACACCCAGAATCCCCTCAGTGTCTCCCGGTGCCCCCAGTCCCCACCGTTCCCCTGCCCCCCCAGTATCTCCCAGCGCCCTCCGGTTCCCACTCCTCCCCTCCCAGTCCCTGGCCGGTGCCAGCAGCATCCCCAGCCCCGTTCGCCGTCTCCCCGCGCTCACCAGCACCAGGCGGCCTCGGATCTCCATCTCCCCCCGCTCCCCCCGCGGGCCGCCTCGGCCCGGCCCGGCCCGGCCGCCCCCCGCTCCCAGCACGGCCCCGCGCAGCGTGTACGAGCTGCCGGGCACCGCGCCCGCGCTGCCGGCCCCGCCGCCGGCCCCGTCCCCGTCCGGCCCCGCCGCCCCGGGCCCCGACACGGCCACCTCGACCCGAGCGGGGGTGGCGGGCCCCGAGCCGGCCCGGCCGAGCGCCAGCAGCGGGGCGAGCAGCGCCGCCCGCACCGCCGCCATGGCTGCGCGCCCCGCGCCCCGCAGCGCCCCCTGCCGGCGGGGAGGACCCGCCGCGACACACACCGCCCGCAGGGGGAGCCCGAGAGCCCCGAGCGGGACCGGGATCAGAATCGGGGATCGGGACAAGGATCGGGATCGGGACAGGGACAGGGATCGGGGACTGGGATAGGGATCGGGATGGGAACCGGGACAGGGACCGGGACAAGGATAGGGACTGGGACAAGGACACGATTAGGAACAGGACAAGGACAGAGATCGGGATGGGGACCAGGACCGGGACTAGGATCGGGATCAGGATAAGGGCTGGGATGGGGACAAGGACAGGGATAGGAATCAAGACAAGGACAGGGACTGGGACAAGGACAAGGATCAGGATGGGGACCGGGACCAGGACAGGGATTGAGACAAGGGCTGGGATGGGGAAAGGGACAAGGACGGGGACAGGGATCGGGACCAGGAATGGGACAAGAATCGGGATGGGAACCGGGACAGGGATTGGGACAAGGACAGGGACAAGGACAAGGACAGGGACAGGGATTGGGACAAAGACAGGGACTGGGACAGGGATTGGGATGGGGACCAGGATCAGGATGGGAATCGAGACAGGGATCAGGATGAGGACTGGGACGGGGACGGGGACTGGGACAAGGACAAGGACAGGGACAGCGACTGGGACAAGGACTGGGACCGGGATCAGGATGGGGACTAGGACAGGGATCGGGACAGGGACAGGGATCGGGATGGGGACCGGGACAGCGATCAGGACAAGGATCGGGACAAGGACAGGGACAGGGATCAGGATGGGACCAGGACAAGGGCCGGGATAAGGACAGGGACAGGAATAAGGGTGGGAATTGGGACAGGGATAGGGGCTGGGGGGATGGAGATGGGGATGGAGACCAGGATGAGGACAGAGGCAGGAGAGATACAATGACAGGGAGCAGGGACCAAGACTTGCCCAAGCTGGACACTTGGCAGAGCAGGGACAAAGAAGGTGATGGGGACAGGGACCAGGATGGGAACCAGGAAGAGGACAGGGACCAGGAGAGGGACAGGGACAGGGAATTGGGACCAGGATGGAGATCTAAACACAGAAAAGGGCTGAGACTGGGATGGGAACCAGCACTGGGACAGGGATGGGGAGGGACAAGGATGAGACCAGGATGGGAACAGAAACAGGAACCAGGTGGAAAACAGGAACAAGGAGAGGCACTGAAAGAACAACAGGAAGTTGGATCAGCACGGGGAAAAGGCCAGGACCAGGACTGGGATGGGAACAGGGAGAGGGACCAGGAGGAGGACAGGAATCAGAAAAGAAACAGGGGCAGGGACTGGGAGCGGGAGCAAGACAGGGACAAGAACTGGGACTGAAATGGGAACAGGCTGCAGCGGCAGGACAGGGACAGGGATGGACTCAGGGACCAGGAAACCAACTGGCACCAGGAGAGTGACAGGGACAGGAACAGGCACGGGGACACAGATATCCACATCCCCATGTGTGGATACAGGGACACATGGGGACACAGGGACATGGGCAGCCACAGCCATGGCACAGGCAGGGACATGGGCACCCCTGGGTGGCATGGACACACACCAACACCCGAGTGCCCAAAACACAACAGCCCCCTGCACCGGACACCCCCCGGCACCCCCAGCCTGGGGGGCACCCGGCAGCCTGCAGTGCCCCATCCTGGCCCCTGGGTGCCCCATCCTGACCCTGGGGTGCCCCATACTGACTCCCAGGTGCCCCATCCTGACCCCACGTGTCCCATCCTGCCTCCAGGTACCCCATCCTGACCCCTGAGTGCCCCATCCTGACCCCTGGGTGCCATATCCTGACCCCTGGTATCACATCCCGACCCCTGGATGCCCCATCCTGACCCCGACATGCCCCATCTGACCCTTGGGTGCCCCATCCTGACCATGGGGTGCCCCATCCTGACCCTGGGGTGCCCCATCCTGACTCCCAGGTGCCCCATCCTGACCACGGGGTGCCCCATCCTGACCCCTGGATGCCCCATCCTGACCCCCAGGTGCCCCATCCTGCCCCCAGGTGCCCCATCCTGACCCTGGGGTGCCCCATGTGACCCCTGGGTGCCCCATCCCGGCCCTGCTCTGGCCACGTGTGCCCAGCCCATGTGCCTCCGGGGGATTTGCTGGCTGGATTAGCTGCGGTATGGGCCCAGGCTGACCTGCTTTTGGCAGGGGCCACGCTGGGAACGGGGCTCAGGGCTGTGGGACCCGGTTCCCGTGGCTGCAGGGTGCCATGGGATGGGTCTGGGTGTGTCCCCGTGTCCCTCGTGTCCCCATCCAGGTTTGAAGTGCGGGGGTGTAATCACAGGGTGGGCACGTCCCTCCTCCCAGCCGGAGCCGGTTTAACCACACGGTGAAACCCCGATTGCAGCGGGTCTGGCTGTGCCATGAACAACAGCCGGGAGCACGGCTGGCTCGGGAACAGCCCGGAGTGTGGGGACACTGTGGGTTTGGGAGGAAAACACCAAAATGGGGCCTGGGGGTGGCTCCTGCCAGAGCTGCCCCATGGAGGGGACATAGAGGGGTGTGAATGCTTTGTGGAGCATCCGTAGGTTTGTGGGATATGGGTGGCTTCCTGGGCATCTGCAGCTCCAGGGGACATTTATGGGTCACAGAACGTGGGTGGCTCCATGGGACATCTATGGGTCCCAGTTCCAAGGGACACGCATGACTCCATGGCACATAAATGGCTCCTTGGGACATGCACAGACGGGACACAGGTGGCTCTGTGGGACATCCACAGCCCCCAGGGACATGCATGGTTTCATGGGATGTTTCCATGGGTTATCCATGGATATGTATAACTTCACAGGACACCCATGGGACATCCACAGCTTCAGGGGACAAATAGGGTTAAATAGGGTTCCATGGGACATGCAGAGCTCTCTGGGACAACCATGTGTGCATGGGGGACACGGGGCTCTGTGGGATATCCATGGGACACACACACAACCCCATGGGCATCCTGCTCCTGATCCCCATCTTCCAATCACTGAGCCCTCAATCTGTCCCTGTCCCCATCTCCCATCCCTGTCCCTGTCCCTTCTACCTGGCACCCTGCCCCACTTTAGGTCCCTGTTTCCACCTCCCATCCCTGTCACTGCCCTCATTGCTGTCCCCTCTCCTGACACCTGGCCCATATCACCATCTCCCACCCCACAGCCACATCTCCCTCCATACCCCAATGTCCTCCCACACCCCCTCCACCCCACTGTGCCCCCCAAACTCTCGCAGAGCCCCCACCCTTCTGCACACTCCATAACCCCCAGAGCCCCCTACACTCATCTCTCCCTTGCCCCCCCAATCCCTATGTTCCACATGCCCCCCAAGGCCCCCTGTGCCCCCCTTTGCCCATTCCCCATATTCCCCATGCACTCCTACCCCACATGTCCCCTACAGTCCCCAAGTCCCTCCTACCCTCAAGGCCCTCTATGCCCCCATACTCCCCATACCCCCTAAGCCTCCTCATGCCCCCATATCCCCCATAAGCCCCAAACCCTCTCAACTCCTCTATACCCTCCCATATCACTTACAGCCCCCATATTCCCCTATAGTCCCCAAGGCCCCCTGTGCCTCCTCATGCCCTCATACCCCTATAGCCCCCATATCCTACAGCCATGTCCCACGTGCTCCCCATGCCCCCATACCCCTCCATGCCCCCCATACCCCTCCATGCCCCAATACCCCTCCATACCCCAATACCCCCCAATGACCCCCATACCCCTCCGTGCCCCATAACCCCTCAAGTTTCCCACACCCCCCCTACAGTCCCCAAGCCCCTCTGTGTCCCCATATCCCCCTGCCTCCATCACCCCCCGCACCCCGATCCCCGACCCCGGGGCGGCGGCGGGCGCTGACCGGGCGGGCAGGGGTCGGGCAGGGTCCAAGGCCACGGGGGTGGGCGGGGGCCGGGCCGGGCCGGGCCGGGCGGGCCGGGGGGCGGTCCCGGGGAGGTGCTCGGAGCCTCCCCGGCCGCCGGGGCCGGGCAGAGCCGCCCGCAGCGCACCATGAGCGGCCGCGTCGGGGACCTGAGCCCGCAGCAGGCGGAGGTGCTGGCCCAGGTGAGCTGGGACGGAGCGGCCGGGGAGCTGCGGGGGGAGCGGGGCCGGGGCCAGGACCGGGACTGGGGCCGGGCTGTCCTCCCCGATGTGCGCCCGCATCCGCCGCGGGACCGGCATCACCCCCACCCCGCAGCCCAAACCCTTCTGCTCCCGGCCCGGGGGGCTCTGCAGCCCCCCAGGGCACCCCAAACCCAGCGGCATCACCCCCGCTCCCGGCCCCGGGGGCTCCCACCGCCTCGTCCAGCCCCCACATCCCCGGCTCCAAACTTACGGCATCACCCCCGCTCCGGCCTCCGGGGGGCTCCGCACCCCAAACCCCCCGGCTTCACCCCGATTCCCTGCCCCGGACACGTCCCATCGCCTTCAGCCTCCACCCCGCCCCCAAACCCGGCGCCGGGAGGCTCCCGCTGCCTCCATCCCTCAGCCCGGAGCCCAAACACGCGGGCCGAGCCCCGCTGTGGCGCTGCCCACAGGGCCGGACCGTCCTGGGTGGGTCCTGGCGGTCCCGCTGGCTGCACCATCCCTCTGGCGGGCCCCCATCCCTTTCCCATCCTCCCCGGGGCTCGGGAACCTCCTGTCTCCCTGCGGGCCCTTGGGACGGTGCCCCTCTGCCACCTCCGTGCCACCCTGCAGCCCAATCCCGCGGGCTGAGCCCCCGAGGTGCTGCCCACGAGGGAAGGACCATCCTGGCTGTGCCACCAGCCTGGGCTCCGCCGAGCCTCGTTTTCTTCTTCCACGCTTCCCATGGGACCGCAAAACTTCCTGCCCTCACCGCCGGGATTGCAGGCCCGGGGACACCCAGGGCCGCTGATTGTCACCCACCACGGCCACCCCTGCCAGGTGCTGGGGTTTGGGTGCCAGCTGTTATCGGGGTTCAGTGCACCGAGAGGGCACCCCCGTGCCTTTATCTTATCGCTGCCTTTCAGCCCCAGCCAAATTCCACTGGCGGGCGATGACCCCGCCGGTGCCAGCACGGGGGGCAGGGGCAGGCGTGGGGCACGGTGCCCAAACCGTGCCCGGTGCCAGCCGTGCCCTGGGCGAGTGACGGAGGCGAGCGGCCGAACCCGTTCGTCCACCACCACCGGCTTTGTCCCAGGGTGAAGGAGCTAATCCCGGGTTTAATTACCCCTAAATTCAGCGGGAGATAAGCTAATCAGGCTCATTAAGGGGAGGGCCTCGGCTGGTACCGAGATTTGAGCTGTGGGCTGGTTGGGGTGAGCGGGGCCACATGGACAGGGGACCCTGGGTCCCCCAAACCTCCCAATGCTGCACCCCAACACCCTCCTGCCTGTGCTGGGGGTCTGTGACCCACTGGGGGTCACAAACAGCAGGGGACACAGTGACCAGCTCCATCTCAAAGGATGCCACTGGTCGGGACTGGTCTGCTTGTCCCCTCCCTGAGGGGACCCCAAATCCCTCAGTCCTGCACCCCAACACCCTCCTGCTTGTGTCACGGGGCTGTGACCCACTGGAGTGTCACTGAGATGGGGACATGTGGCAATCTGCTGGTGACTGGCTTCATCCCAGGGATGCCATTGGCAGGGCCTGGTCTGCCTGGTGCCTGCAGTGCCCCCTCTGAGGGGCCCCAGCTTCCCCAGCCCCCCAGCCCTGCACCCTGGCACCCTCCTGCCTGTGCCAGGGGGGCTGTGGCCCACTGGGGTGTCACTGGGCAGGGGTACACACAGTGACAGCCTCCATCCGTCCCAAAGGACACCCCTGGAGGGGACTGCTTCACCCAGTCCCTGTGAGACACCCTGGGAGGAGCAGGGTGGTGACAGCCCACACACCTTATGCAAGGGCTTGGGGACACCCAGAGCATGGCAGCTGGGCTGGGGACAGTCCCCTGCCAGGTGACCACTGATCCTGGCTGCATGTGGGGCAGGGAGGGGCACAGGGTGGCCCTTGTCCCCTGGCAATGTCCCAGTCCTGGTTGGCATGTTTTTTGGAGGGCACGAGGAGGGACAAACCTCCAGCCTTGAGGTTTTTGGGGAGGATCAGGGTTCACCAGCTGTCCCTCTTGTCCCTGCAGTTCCGGGAGAAGGTGCAGGACGTGCTGCCCTCCCTGCCCTCCCAGGACGACTATTTCCTGCTGAAATGGCTCCGAGGTAACCCCAAAGTGGGGCAGCGCTGGCGGGGGGAGCCCGTGTGGGGCTGGCAGGGTCTGAGCTCTCTGCTCTGCTCTCTTGCAGCGCGCTCCTTCGACCTGGCCAAGGCAGAGGCCATGCTCCGCAAGGTGAGAGGGGCACGCTGCTTTTGGGGCACCTTGCTGTGCTGGGACAGACCTGGTGTGAGACCCCACACCCTGGGCCACAGGGGCACCACCCCAGCCCACGGGGTTCACCCTGTCCCAAATGTCACCCTGGCCCGCTCTGCCCCCGCTGCAGCACGTCGAGCTCCGCAAGCACATGGACGCCGACAACATCCTCGCCTGGGAGCCACCTGAGGTGAGTGTCCCTGAGCTCCCGGGGGTGGCCCTGGAGGGAACCGTCCCTCTGAGTCCCCTGGGGTGTGTGTGAGGTGCCCTGAGCCGCCTGTACCCCCACAGGTGATTCGGAAGTACATGTCGGGCGGGCTGTGTGGCTATGACCGCGAGGGCAGCCCGGTGCGCTACGAGATCATCGGGCCGCTGGACGGCAAGGGGCTGCTCTTCTCCGCCTCCAAGCAGGACCTGATCAAAAACAAGTTCCGGGACTGTGAACTGCTCCGGCTGGCGTGTGAACAGCAGAGTGAAAAGGTGGGAACCTGCCCACACTCTGCTGGCCCCAACAGCTCCATGTGTCCACACCTGGTCTGCCCCTACCAGTCACCATCTTCCCCAGCCCTATGGGTGCCTGTCCTGTCCACTTCCCTCTGTCCGTGCCTGCCAGCCCATGTCCTGCCCATCCCCACCACTCAATGTCCTCCCCAGCCCCATATATCCATCTCTGGTCCATTCTTACCAGACAATGTCCTTGACGGCCCTATATATATTACAGGTCCCTGTCCTGTCCATTTCCCTCTGTCCATGTCCATTCCCACATCTCAAAGTCCTCCTCAGCCCATCTCCAGTCCATTCCTACGAGACAATGTCCTTGACAACCCTATAAATCTTATAGGTCCACGTCCTGTCCATCCCCATATGTCCATCTCTGCTCCATCTCTCCCAGCCAATGTCCTCACTCGCCAGCCCTACAGGTCCATGTCCAATTCACCTCCCTCAGCCCCACAAGTCCGTGTCCTGTCCACCCCACCATGGACCATGTCCCTGCCACCCCCATATGTCCATTTCTGGTTCACACTCCCATCCCACAACTCTGCATCCTGCCCATCCCCACCAGTCCACGTCCCTGCTGTCCCTCAGCCCGGATCCCTGTCCCAGCTCCCATGGTGCCCCTTCTCCCCACACCAACGCTTAGGAGGAGGCTCTGGCTGGTGTAACCAGCCTGTTGGGGCCACCCCATCCCTGAACCTCCCTGTGGGTCCTGCCTGATCCCCCCCATCCTCCTGTCCCAGCTGGGCAAGAAGATTGAGATGGTGATGATGGTGTACGACTGTGAGGGCCTGGGCCTGAAGCACCTCTGGAAGCCAGCTGTGGACACGTATGGGGAGGTGAGGGCTCCTGCCCACCCCCCTTCCCATGGACCGCAGGGCCTGGTCCCTGGATGATGCAGGAGCGGGTCCCTGCAGTGCCCTGCACTCCCCAGAGTTCTGGGTGGGTCCTGCTGGGTGCATGGCATGGGTGACCTGAGCTCCCCCGTCTGCAGATCCTGTCCATGTTCGAGGAGAATTACCCCGAGTCCCTCAAGCGCCTCTTTATTGTGAAGGGTGAGTTTGGCTCCAGGGTCCTGCTGCCCTTACCCAGGTGCTGACTCCCCCCTGACGCCCCCCTCTGCCCCCAGCCCCCAAGCTCTTCCCCGTGGCCTACAACCTGGTCAAGCACTTCCTGAGCGAGGACACGCGCAAGAAGGTCGTGGTGTTGGGATGTGAGTCCTGACCCTCCCCAGCGTGTCCCAAATGGAGGGACTGCATTCCCCCTCTGCTATCACCCCACCCAGGGGGGATACTCCAACCTGCAGCCCCCCCAAACCCGCTGTCCTCCCCCCCAGCCAACTGGAAGGAGGTCCTGCAGAAGTACATCGACCCCGCGCAGATCCCGGTGGAGTACGGGGGGACGCTGACAGACCCTGACGGGGACCCCAAGTGCTCCAGCAAGGTAGGAGGAGCCCCCACGGGGTTCTTTAGTGGTGCTGGGCAGTTCCCCCACCCCACATCCTCCATCCCTTCCAGATAAACTACGGGGGGGACGTGCCCCAGCATTACTACGTGCGGGACCAGCTGGCACAGAAGTACGAACACTCGGTCGTGGTCAACCGGGGCTCGTCCCACCAGGTCGAGTACGAGATCCTCTTCCCCGGCTGCGTGCTGAGGTGAGGGCGGCTCTGCGCTGCGGGGAGCGGGTGGGTGACAGCCCCGTGCCCCCAGCCCGCCGCAGCTGTGCCCTCCCTGCAGGTGGCAGTTCCGCTCCGAGGGCGCCGACATCGGCTTCGGCGTGTACCTGAAGACCAAGGTCGGGGAGCGGCAGCGTGCGGGCGACATGACCGAGGTGCTCCCCAACCAGCGCTACAACGCACACATGGTGCCCGAGGACGGCTCCCTCACCTGCTCCACGCCCGGCATTTGTGAGTGCCGAGCCCTCCCCGGGCCGCTGCGGGACCCCCCTGTCCCTGACCCCACCCCGTATCCCTGATACCCCTGTCCCCCCGCAGATGTCCTGCGCTTCGACAACACCTACAGCTTCCTCCACTCCAAGAAGGTGAGCTACAGCGTGGAGGTGCTGCTGCCCGACACGGCCTCGGCCCAGCAGATCCAGGGGGAGTCCCCGAACCACAACCCCTGAGCGCCCCGGGCTGCACCGCGCCCCCCAGGACGGCCCCGCGGGAAGATGGAGCCGGGGCTGAGCCCCGGGGCTGCCGGACTGAGGCGGGGCCGAGCGGGGCCGGGCGCCCGCAGCCCCCCCAAACTCTGTGCCTTATGTGGGTGCTGCACCCACCGCTGCTGCTGCCTGGGCTGGGGAGTAAAGGGATGGACTGAGCGGGCTCTGCTCCGTTTATGGCTGCCCCTGCTGCCCGCCGCAACCCTGCAGCCAGCCCCACAACTGCCCCCAGCGCCAAAACTGCCCCCGAACTGCCCCCTCAGTCTCACACCTGCTCCCCCCAGCCCCTTAACTGTGCCCTCAGACCCACAATTACCCACCCAGCCCCAGAACCACCCCCAGCACCTGAACTGCCCCCTCAGTCTCACACCTGCTCCCCCAGCCCCACAACTGTCCTCTCAGCCTCACACCTGCTCCCCCCTGCCCCTTAACTTTGCCCCAGACCCAAAATTACCCACCCAGCCCCAGAACCGCCCCCGGTACCACAACCATCCCATCCAGCTGCCCCCAGCCACACAACTGCCCTCAGTCCCACAATTGCCCGTCCAGACCTACAATTGCCCCTCAGCCCCACAACTGCCCCTCCACACCCGTAACTGCCCCTGAGCCCCACAGTTGCCCCCTCAGCCCCGGCCCCGCCCCCGTGACCGCCGCTGACGCAAGGCCGCGGGGTCACGTGCGCGGCCAGGCCACGCCCCCGCCGCCATCCCGCGGCCCCGAGGGGCGGAGCAGGAGCACAACACATGGGGCGGGGCTATGCAAATCAGTATCGAGTGGGCGTGGTTTGGTGACGTTGAGCAGGGGGCGGGGCATGCGGCGGGAGCGGTGGCGCGCGCCATGGGGCAGGAGGAGCCCGACCTGTACCGGGACACGTGGGTCCGATACCTGGGTGAGCACCGGGAACCGGGCACCGAGCTCTGGCACCGGGCACTGACACTGAGCGCTGGGTCCGGGAACCGGGCACCGGCACTGAGCGCTGGCCCCGGGAGCCGGGCGCTGACATTGAGCATTGACACCGGGAAGCGGGTACCGGCACCGGGCACTGACATTGAGCGTTGACACCGGGAAGCGGGCACTGACAGTGAATGCTGACACCGGGAAGCGGGCACTGACATTGAGTACAGAGAACTGACACCGGGTACCAGCGCCGGGAGCTACGGGAGCGCCGGGAACCGGGCACTGATACTGGGCACCGGGCACTGACGCCGGGTACAGGCACGGGGTCTTGGGCGTTGACATTGGCACTAACATCAAATACCACTACCGGGACCTGGGCACTGACATCGGGTACCGGCTGCACAAACGGGGCAGTGATACCGGGCACTGGCCCCTGTCACAGGGTACCAACACCGGGGACTGGGCATTGACACACTGGACACTGGTACCGGGTACCAACGTCAGGCAACACATGAGGAACGAGGCACTGACAGGCAGCCCGGCTTTAGGAACGTGACACCAGACACTGTGTCGGGTACCAGGCACTGTGCATTAGGCACTGCACTGCCCCGGGTGCTGGGCACCGCACGTGGTACCGGGCACTGCCACCCAGCACTGGTACCATCGAGTGCGCTGGGTCTGTGGTACTGGGCACCAACACCCAGCACCAAGTACTGTGTGCTGCACCAAGCACTGATATGGGGTTCTGGTACCAGGCCCTGGCACTGTGCACTGGCATGGCACAGCACACACGGTAACAGCACCAGGTACCTGTCATTGTCACCAGCACTGACTCTGTCTTGTGGCATCATCCACTGGCACTGTGCAGGGACACTGGACACCAGGACACCAGTTACTGGCTCCTGCCAGGCACTGGGCACAGACACAGAGCCCAGAGTGGGCACTGTCACTGGGCAGTCACAGACACCAGCCCTGGCACTGCTCACCCCCAGCCCTGCTGTCCTGGTGGTAGCGGGTCCAAGGGGACCCAGGCAGCACGAACACCCCCTGTGCGAGATCCATCCCGTGACACTGGGACACCCTGCAGGGGTGACACGGGAGCAGTCAGTCCCTGACCCTACCGTCCCCTCAGGTTATGCCAACGAGGTGGGTGAGGCCTTCCGCCCGCTGGTGCCGGTGCCGGTGGTGTGGGCCAGCTACGGCGTGGCCACTGCCTACGTGACCGCCGATGCCATCGACAAGGGCCGCAAAGCCGCCGTCGTGAGTGCCACCCCGCTCCTCAGCCCCCAGCCTCTCCATCCCTGCCCTTCCCCTGACCCCTGTGTCCCCCCAGGCCCACCCTCAGGACCCCTGACCGCTGTGTCCCCCCAGGCCCACCCGCAGGACCCCACGCGCGTGGGGGTGGCCGTGGTGGACACGTTCGTGTGGCAGAGCCTGGCCTCGGTGGCCATCCCCGGCTTCACCATCAACCGGCTGTGCGCTGCCTCGCTGGCCCTGCTGGGGACCCTGACCCGCTGGCCCCTGCCCGTGCGCCGCTGGACCACCACGGCCCTGGGGCTGGCTGCCATCCCCCTCATCATCACCCCCATCGACAGGTAACGAACGGGGACACCCCTGGGGCTGGGGACACCCCTGGGGCAGGGACGGGCGCTGCCACCACCCCATCATCCCCACAGCCCGGAGGGATGGAGCACGTTTGTCTGCTAGGGGCTGGGAGCAGAGGGTGGTGACGGGATGTCTCCACTCCAAGGGGCTTTGCTGGGGTCCAGCCAGGACATGTCCCGGCCAGGACAGGGATTATCCGGAGCTGAGCCGGGATTAGCACAGTGAGGCTGTGCTAAACCTGGTTTTGGTGGCGCTGGTGTCTCAGGGGATATTCAGGACAGCCCCACCCATCCCACATCCCATCACTGCCCCAGAGACCCCTGGGCCCCACTGACGCCCTCTCCTGCCGCAGGACTGTGGATTTCCTGATGGATTCCAGCCTCCGCAAGATTTACGGGGCACCAGGAGAGCCCCCGACGTCCCATTGAGCACCTCCCCATGCACTGGGGAAACTGAGGCATGCTGCTGTGACCCACCTACTGTGACCCCTCACTCTGGTGAGCCCAGAGTGGCCACCCTACCCCACACTGGTCCTAATAAACCATTTCAAACATGACCCCTGATGGGTGATGCTGAGGTGCCACCAAGACCAGGCCGTGTCCTCTCCAGGGGGACAGATGGATCTGGGTGAGTCCCAATCCCTCAGGGGTCTCCATCTGCCCAGAGCAGCTCTGCTGTCCCCACCCTGGAACCTTCTCCACCTCCACAGCCTCATGGGACATCCTGGGGACTGTCCCCAAGGAGCTGCCACCACATCCATGGTCTCCAAGGACACGAAATCCACGCAGCCAGGGGTTGTCATCTCCAGCACCGCAGGCTGGGACAGTGCCACAACACCTGGAAGCCACAGGAACCTGGAGATGTGGCTTGCCAGTGTAGGAGCACATTTCCATCCACTGGTGGCATCCACACGCTACCAACCAGGAGAAGCTTTAGAGAAAGCAAAATCACGTTTATTGGTGAGAAAGAGGCTCTGGCCCCATCTGTTTCTGTGTCTCCCTGAGGAGCAGGGCCCCCACTACGCAGGAAGGGACACCTGTGCCTCGGTGGCCGCTGTCTCCTCCGGGCCCTGCACAGGCGCCCGGTGGTCAGGGCCAGCCCCAGCAGCCCCCCCAGCACGGTGACCCCCAGCACAGCACTGCCCACCAGGGCCAGCAGGAGCCTCCTCACCATCCGGCACAGAGCTGGGAACAGCACAAACACACCTGAGGGTCACCACAAGGGGTGGGGGTTTTGGGGACATGGGAGAGCGTTGGGGTGTCCCTCACCTTGGTACCATGGCAGCTTCTCCTTCTGCACCAGCACTGGTCCAACAGTCTCCCGGTGGAGTGTCCCCTCTCCTGGGAGTGCTGTGGGAGGATATGTCCCATGCAGTCCAGCCCACGTCCAGGAGCCCTCCCAAGGCCCCAAAACAACCTGGGGCCACCCTGTCCCAGCCCTGGTACCTGGCATGTCTCCATGGAGGGTGTCAGCAGTGGGACAGCCGGCGTCACAGCAGTGGCATGGGGTACCCTGGACAGGGTCTTCTGCGTTGTGCCAGCTGGGAGAGGAGAGGACAGGACTGGGGGGTGGCTCTAGGGGTCCCCAGACTCCACCGCAAGACCCACATGGTGCTGTCCCAGAGGAGATGTCTCCAAGAATCTCCACAGCACCTCTGCAGCATAGGGGAAGCTGGAACCTGTGGTGATGCCACCATCTGCCATCGAATAAGAGGTGACATCCAGACCACAGTGGGGTGACTTGGTCTTCCCAGAGATGGGTTCTGCCCCCAGCACACCCACGGGGTGCTCGTGTCCCCACACACCCAGCGTACCTGGCCGTGGTGAGGCTGTAGAAGCAGGACCTGGTGGCACGTCCTTGTCCCCATGCCATCAGCAGGCCGTGCACGTAGACCTGCTGAGACACCACGTCCTTCCTCAGGGACCCTGCTCTCCTGCATCAACTCGTGGTGCTGAGGCCACCCCAGCAGGAGCACTGGGTCTCAGGATGGACAATGTTTTGGGACACCCAGGCCAGGCCCCTCCCTGGGACCTCCATCCCACCTCCAAGGGCATCATCCCCCCGTCACCTGCTCCTCCTCGGGCTCCCCCTCCAGCGTGGGGGCCAGGATGGAGAGCTGGAGGACGGAACCCCCTCTCTGCTGCTGGACAGACACGTTCCCCAGCTTCTCCCCGTGCAGGCACCTGTGGCAGAGAGTGACACAGGACACTCCAGGGCTGTCTCCAGGCTCTGGGCATCCCTTTCCATCAGGAGGTCCTGCAGGACCCCAGGGTGGCTGGAGAAGGAGCCCCTTCTTCCTGCCCCACCAGCACTGACCCACGGCTGTTCACCACCATGAAGACCCTCCTGGAGTGTCCTGGCTGCTCTGTGGTGGTCCAGTAGCACTGATCCACGTGGCTCTTCATGGAGATGCTGGGACTGAAGTGGACACTGGCTTCCAGGTGGATCACAGAGCCAGGGCTGAGCACTGGCAGCTTCTCTGGAGTGGCACTGGAGTCCTCTAGGAAGTGAGTTCAGTGTGACACCCCTAAACCTGTCCCACCAGAGGTGAGGGCACCAGACACATCCCAGACCACCATCCCTACAGCTTCCCCCTTTCAGAACCCACCCCTTGTCCTGCTTTCCCTGCTCTCCAGAGCTTCCTGGACTCCCCATGGAGCTGAGAGGGACCATGTCACCCACGGGGGCAGAGCGGACCCCGAACCCCATTGTGGTATCAGGCACAGGACTGGACACATCTCAAAGCCCTACACCCTCCACAAGGACAGGGGGGAGCTCCTGCAGGGACAGCCACCCTTCCTGGTGCTCCAAGTCCTGGGGCCAGCCAGGAGAAGGCACTGGCTGCTTGCTGCTGGTTGAGCCCTGGGTCTCGGCTGGGCCCATCCCATGGTCTCACCCCCAGTGTTTTCCTGCACTCACCATCCAGGAGCCTCAAGGTGAAGTTCAGGATGGGCTCCTCAGAGTGGGGGTGAGCAGGAACCCTCCCTGTCCCCATGCCTGAGGGCATCACTGGAGCTGTCACCGTGTGACCAGGGGGCTCTGAGGCAGCTGGAGCCATGGTGGTCCCTGCAAGGGAAGGGCTGAGCCAGCAGTAGCATGTCCCAGACACAGCAGGGACATCCAGGTCCTCAGGTGTCCCCAGGACTTGTTGGGGACAGCAGCACAAAGGCAGGGAGAGCACCCAGGAGCACATCAGGGGCTCCTCTTTCCCCAGCCCCACCTGCACCACAGGAACACACCAGGAGCATTCCCAGCACTGGGGACAGACCAGGAGCTGCTCATGCGGTGAGACACCGCTGCCAGCAGCCACAGACCCCACCAGTGCCTGTGATCCCCCTCACCCCCACCAGGGCCCACCAGCCCTGCTGGGACCTCAGGGGAGCTCCTGGCAGCCCCTTGCCCCAACCCTCAGAGCTTGGGATCATTTTAGGAAGGCTCCTCTACCCTGGCCAGCCCCCAGGTGACCACCAGGAGCCAGCACTGGGCAAAGCAAGGGGCACCCACCTCCCTCAGGACAGCCAGTGGGAGGAATGAAGGGGGATCCCAGCCCCAGTCACCTGGCACCTCCAGCACAGCCCCACACAGCAGCACCAACAAGCACAGCTCCATCCCTGGTGAGCAGCATCCCCACCCCACCAGCTGGGGGTCTTTATGGGCTTGGGGCTGGGTGTCAATGGGTCCCAGCTGGCACTGGTGGGGCTGGGGGCTTTGCTGGGTCTCTGCAGCCATCAGCAGCCCCACACCTGGGGCTGGTCCCACCTCTCACACCTTCCCAGTCCCACCACAAGAGCCTGTGCCCATCTTCCAGTCCCCATTGCATCCACAGCCCCAGTGCCACCACTCAGACTGGTCCTGCAGGTGGTCCTGAGCAAGATCCCACACCCACCAGTTAGTCCTGGTCCCAAATGCACTAATCAGTCCTGGTCCCAGGTGTGATGCTGGGCCTCCCATGCCATTGTTGTGGTCCTGGTCCTCAGCAAGGTGGAGATCCCACCACAAGGTCCCATCCCCACCAGTCAGTCCTGGTCCTGTGCATGGTGCTGCTCCCACCATGTCCTTGTACTCCTGCACATGGTGCTGATCCAAGCAGATCCCAGTTCACCACATGGCCTGGTCCCATCACTCAGCCTCGGTCCCTTGGATGTCCCTGGTCCCATCTCAAGGTTCTTAAGCCCACCCCAGTTTGGACCCCATCATTGTCAGGATGCCATGGCTGATCCTGGTCCCACCAGAGAGTCCCAATCCCCAGCACCCCTCCTTGTCCCATCATAGCTCTGCTGGAGAGGAACACCACGTGGGAGCAGCAGCTTGGCCACAGCCAGAACAGAGACCTGGTGAAGTGCTCGTGTCCCTGGGTCCTGCCTGCCTCAGGTGTCCCCATCACAGCCCCAACACCGCCACAGGTCTCCTCTGAGTGGGCTGACCAGGTGCCCTGGCTGCAGAGGGAGTGTGGAGAAGACCCAGTGCAAGTCCCATGGCCACCCCTGAAATGGGCCCCCCCACCAGCAGCAGAGCTGGAACACGGTGGCATCAGTGGTTTGTGTCACCAGGGATGGCAGGTCCCATAGCTCTGCTGTCCCTGTGAAGCCAGCAGATCTTCCTGGGGGCATCTGCACACTATGAGGATGTCCCCCACACCCAGCAGGGACACTGGGGACAGACCTAGGCACACCACTCACATTGAGGGTCTCATTCCTCAGCACTGCTGGGTGACATGGGGCCCTCCACCCCAGGATTGAAGGGGACAGTGGTGCCAGGACCCTGGGGAGCTCCCAGAAGGAGCAGGGACTGGCTGAACATCCTGCTGTGGCTGTGAGAACATCCTCACCTCACCTCATCCATCCCATCCCAGAGGAGGAGATGGCTGGAGACCAGCTGGGCCATCCTTATATCCAAAACTACCAAATATACAATGATATTACAAAAGTAAATTATTTTTTTATTTCTGGTTTTTACAGAAGGAGCTGAACACAGGTAGGGGGACAATGGGGGTCCCTTTGCTGGGGAGTGGCTCAGCCACAGGTGCCACCTCTGTGCCCAGCCAGGGCCACTCTCAGTGGGACGTGGTGTCACCGGTGTCATCCAGCCCAGCTGGGACGCACGAGGTTTGTCCCCAAGGCAGGGTGAGCACTGGGGATGGCCCCTGCCCTCAGCATCCCCACTGTGCCCTGGATGGCATCACAGGGACAGTCCCACTGCCCCCGCTCCCATCTCCTCCCCACACCAGTTGTCACCAGACCCTGTTGGCCTTTTGGAATGTCCCCTGTGGGGACGAGGACCACGGGCTCCTCTAACTGGGATGATGGGGGGCAGTGAGGGTGTGCCCTGTGCCACGGGGACCTGTTGATAAAGGCCGGGGCTTTTGGGATGGGTTTTCCAATCTCCAAATGGCTCCGGGTGCCTCTAGGTCACAGCCTAGCTGTTGGTGGGCTGAGAACATGCTGCACTCATCACACCCAAGGGCAGAGGCAGTGCAGCAGATTCTGACATTACCACACCCCAAAACCAGGGCTCAGTGGGGTGATTTGAGGAGCTCCTGGAGGGTTGGGTTCCCTG